AGACTCCTGGCTGTCTTTACAATCCAGTTAAATAATTCCAACTGTTCATTTAATTATAACATTGTCGTAGCCAGCCTCTATCTTTGGGTAAGAGCTCGTAGACGCATATCTGACTCATGTTGCTAACCGTTTACAATTAATTTCGAAGAGTACAATGCAGCGATAATTTACCGTGTGTATATGTCACTATGTGACATAATATGACATATAAACAAGGTACGATATTGTAATACTAATAACTTGCTTATCTATCGATAAAGAAGAATATAGCAAGGTTTTCTGTTTAAGGAACAAGTTCTTTTTTCAAGATGTTTCTTTATATAAATAAAAACGCTAAATATACAGTGGTATGAATACTATAATGACGTTATCACTTGTCACTTTTGTAACTTCATATTCTTTCCTTCATTCGACACCTCCCCCAAGCTAGAATTAAAAATTATGACTATAAGTTACTATCGAAGGGGAAGTGCTAGCCAAACATTGCTATAGGCATAGCTGAGTGGTTTCGTGTTCAAGCTAAAGATTGCAACTTAGCTTGGATTTACTAATTTTCTTCAAGACAGGTCTGGTGGTGGTGAATGTTAATTGGCGTGATATGAACGATAGATCGAACTCAGACATTTTGTACATGTGTGTGCCTTTAAATTTAAACATTGTGTTGGCAAGGTTTATTTCAATAAACTTTGGGCTGTTTTTCATTTCATGTAATTTTTTGTTCAAAAATACGAAACATTAATCTCTGCTAAAAATATTGTTTGAATATATATGAAATTCACATTTAATTCACCAGAGATTGTGTGGTAATCGGTTTCTCAGTAAATACTGAAAATAGACAAGTTCTTCTTTCAATAACCACCCTTAAAAGCAAACCTTCGAAACACTCCAATTAGGCACATCAGAAAGAATACTTCTTTTGATTAGACCTATGCGACTATGTCGATGATATTTCAGGGCACGTGTGTCAAAATTTGACGACTGACTTTTATCGTGGATGGTGGTTTGGCACGTATACCATGTGGATCATATTGGTTATTTCAAGGTTTATAGAGGACATTGGCGGGTAATGTGATTATAGTTATGATTGCATGGATAAATGTGACTTTTTTATATAGGATCATAAGTTTTTTAAATGTATGCCATTGCATTTAATAAACGCAGTGTTTTGGAAGATGTACCCAAAGGCCAAGAAATTAAAAAGAAAACGTGAATATTCCTGATAGCCATAATAAATAATGTTATGACAAAATGGCTTCGCTTGGCCCCAAATGTGGACACTGTTTTTTTCCAAAACAAAACGAAATGGGAGGGAAAACCAGTGGATCCGGGAAAAAACCCTCCAATAATAAAAAAGATCAAAAATTTAGAAAAATTTTCTTAAATTTTTGTAGTTTTAAGATGTTTCCTATTTTTGTTGTTTTCAATGATCCCGATGATCTATTTTAATATGCTGCAGCATAGTCAGATCGTGCGTCCTATATAGTCGTATAAAAAATTTAAATTTACAGAGCGACAAAAAAGCGGACTGACTACCCTATTGACACAGCAAATATTTTGTGTTCAACAAAAGAAACGCAAACTTTCGTAGAGAACAAAAAATGAAAGTGCGCCGAATGTTAAACATTTTAATAAATAGACGAAAAATGAAAATTAAAAGCATCCCATAAAATTATATGAAAAAATTATTCAGTACGTACGACATGACCATTCATCTGTCAATAACAATGAAAAAATGAAATGACCAAAGTGACGTCATGACTTGCATAAAAATCATTTTTCATGTCTACTAGACTTCATTCAAAATTTCTATGTTGCTACATTAACACCTTCATTAATAGCTGGCTTTCACTCACGTGTTTTGTCAGAAAATTTAACAATTGTGAAAATTTAGTTTTAAGCTGTTGTACTTGAAAATGCGTTATACTGATAAACGTTATGCATAACAAAAGTGTGATTCTTTCTACAAGGACGCTTGTTTCTTGGTGCTTCTGTCTGACTTGGTCGTTCATTAATTGTCCAGTTAGTAACCTTACAGAAAAAGTCACTCTACAAAAAACACGTTGTAAATGTCAGCAAAATGAATTATCAAGAACAGAAATTAAATACATTGAAAAGAACAAAACTTTTATACCTGATTTCCAAGAGTTGTCCTAGTCCGTTTGATCCAGGCGACTTGGTCGGTCTCTTCCTATTTTTTTCACTGCGCAGTTTTTGTGTGTATGTCGTAGAAATATATGGTAGCATTTTTATTTGCGAAATTCAATGACCCCTAGCTACTTGCAGCATTGCAATTTTCGTTATGAACGTTAAATGTAATTATCAAAAAGTAGTGAATGAAAGCCAGCTATTTTCTCACAGCAAGTGACATCCTTCGTTTATAAACAAAAATTGACAAATTTTGTCATGAAAAACAGACTGTTTTTATTTTATTTGATTAAGGCTCAAATTTCATGATTAAGGCTCAAATTATAGAAATAGACCATCAGGATCCTTTTTAACTATCTCATGCAGATACTCATACAACACTTATTTACTCAACTTACAAACCACAAGACATGAATCGTGTTTTTCCACTCGCTTGTTTTCCATCTTCGTAGAACATATTTCGTTTTTTTAGTCCAGTAATTTCAATATTATGTTCATACGTAAATATGCCAAAGTGATGTCCATTCAATGCCTTTATACCATTCCATAAACAAAGTACTCAACATTGTTAACCAACAAAGTAGCTAGTGAAATCATGAATCGCCATTTCGACAGATTACAATTTACAATGCACTCTTATGGTAAGTTTTAAACAATCGAAGACTTAACATTGTGGTCAAAGCATTTTACAGTGAAAGCTTTCATATTACGAGGCCTGCACAAAGACTAGTTGATTGTTCCACGTAACTCATACTTCTTTATATCGTCAGTAAAAAGACAGATTTACCTTTCTTTCTACAACGTTAAAGTGACTAATTAACCGTTGAAGTGAAAAAAAAACTAATTTATATTCTTTAATTGACGTCATGATTAGAATTTCTTAATGTGATTGGCTCCTTAGGAGCTTATCACCTTTCACAAAGACAAATTCAGTGTACTTATATTCATTGCATATATTCAGTAATGACTAATGTGACATTGAAGAAACAAACTAAAAATCAGCAGCATCAATAAAAACCAATGCGATTTTCACAAGAACAATAGAATCAAGAAGCAAATAAATATTTAACGTCAATGTAGTTACTTACGTTTGTACTCACTTGACTTAGTTTCTCCTCTCCTCTTGGTATCTGAACAACCGAATTTTCTCACAAATATCGGAAAAATCCTCTTGCTGTTGATCGGATTATGCCAAAATTATCGGCTATTACCGAGTAGTGTTGCAAACACTAACCAATCTTTTCTTTCTTCTTTGTAGCGACTTCAGTCCTACGAGCGTATTTTCTATGTTCTCAAAACGTTTCTTTAAACTCAAAGATTCCAATTCTTGTTCAGTTGCATTCACAGATGTTGGTGGTCTTGATTTTTTATCAAAACATTCAAATACATCGGCAATCATATCAGACGTCTTTCGGTAACTTGTCGTCGATGACAGTTGAAGCCAACAACTTCATTTTGCTCTGCATAGTCAAAAATCTTTATACTTGTCGCCTATGTGTATAGTCTTGTTCCATCTTTTATGAACAACATCTGCTTTCCACGACGCCTCGTGACTTGTATGAGGTAAAACTTGAAGTGAATAGTACCTTTATGCATGGTGTTAAGCATATCATTATATGTATTTGTTCCACATAAATTGTTCGTACTTGAACAAATTATCGGATATCTATCAAATCTAAATTTTGAAAAAAAAACGTATTGTTGCCAAACAAAAGAACTATGCTCTTCATCCATTAATAAACGTAAAATGCAAATGACAATTGACCATTTTTCTGTGATATTACGCAAATCATTAAACCATTAAATAACGCAAATATGAGTTTGGGCATTAAGATGTTGGTGACGTCAAGTTTTGAAACTTTTTATAAAGGTCGAGACGTGTTGGAAACGATTGTTTATCACTATGAACTTGAAGATTGTTGTTCAATTATAGAAATGGTGAAATAGTTCGAACCTTTGCGGCTGCACAAATATAGACTATATAGTTACAATTGGTTCCGCTCGTTCAGTGAGCGACGAGCTCACATAAATTCATTGATCATTTTTATTTAATTTTTGTGGTGTTAGCAGGCGATCAGTCACGATGGTCAATTCTGACATAGCTTACCATGGATTTCCTAATGCAAATTATTTTTATTGAAATTCATGGTAAGCCAACCTAAAATAAATGTATATTAACGTAGAAGACAAGCATTTTTTGTATAGCAAGAGCTGCAGAAGAAAATCGCCTAAAATAGACTAAATACATGAAGGCGTTTCATATTCCTTACAAGAATTATCCGCAGCTTTTGTATAAAAACGAAGACAAAAAATATGTACAAGGTCCGAATTTTTTGCATGCCAACTCCACTCTATGTTCCGGTGCGAATCCTGCCTGTTTCCTCGAAACATTCAACGCTTGATCAAAAGTCCACTACTATCAACGTGAAAGACAGAAAACAAGTGGCGCTGGTAAATAATAGAAACATGAAGAAAAGATGTGAATGGAAAAAACATGAAGAAGAGATGTGAAGGAGAAACGTGAAGAAGAGAGGTGAAGGAGCGATGTGCAGCTTAGAAGATAACACTATATGTACTTTTTATATTTTCTTAACTTTGCGAAAATTTTGGCAAATGCAATTTGAGCCCGCAGTCAATTGCACCGAACCGGGCGTACTTCGCTTGACGTAAATCATCACGACATTAAATTGCTTTGGAATTTCTATTTAATCTTTTTTGTTTTAAACATTTTAATAAAGAGTTCTTCATCCAACGCAAAAATACCAGGGCGGATCTTGAACACACAGACAAGAACCTCGAAAATAACGCTGACAATGAGAGCGTGTTTCGCTCGACCTAAATCGTCTCGATAGTAATTGGTTTTGGAACCTTTATTTAACATTTTTTATGCATTTAAAAAAAGAAAGCTACAGTTGCTACGCTGCGCTAAACCCAAAGATCATGCCATGGGCGTTAGTAAGGTTTGTATTCTAGAATTATAACACATTAAAAAACATTTTCTTCCTGTCAAAATGACACATCTTGTTAAAATCATGCGCTACCACTTTGGGGAAATCTCTAACCATATTGACGACAGTTTCCATAGTAGCAAATTGTGGTTAACTCGGTGGAATGGGTTCCTAAGGATTTGCTGTTTCAGGATTTCAGACAGCACTGGAATCAGTACGAAGAATCATTGACAGTTTATTATTATTATTAAATAGTCTACTGTCTTCAGCCTCATTTTCATTCACAGAAATTGTTACATCATCATGAACGACTACGCCATCTTTATCTTCGTATGTATCCATTTGACTATGCTGTCTCTTTAATTCATTTAATTCGGGATCGTTCTCCCTTGCTTCTCTCTCTTCGTCAAAATCTCCTTCAGAATACTTCAAATCATCACCGACGCAATAGTCACTTGAATTCGGTACACTGAATTTCTTATGATCGTTTTGTACTTTTCCCCAAGCCTTTCGCTTAGACTCAGCTCTTGTCTCCTCTGGATTAAAGGTTTCTATGCTCTCACTGTAACCTATTTAAGAAAATACAAAAGTACGTAAAGGCAACAGCTTCTCCACTACTTACAATGTGTGTCAATGTAGGTAGTGATGTATGAACAACAGAGAACGAGAACTGTCAGTGATGAATGAACAACAGAGACAGAGATCAGTCTTTACATGGCTTTGAAGTGTGTTTTTGGAAAATTCAGTAACATTTTTACAAATAAGAAATGTTACCTCGAAATTGAGTAGTAGCGTTTTGTTTATCTTGACTCATTCGGACATACTCGATTGATCTACGATTCCTTTCCATTGTAAACTCGTTTTGAATCTCTAACATTTTATTTTGCAAAACAGCATTCTGCCTTTGCAGTTCTTTAACCATTTGAATCAACGTTGACATGTCTTGTTTCTTTCCCATTTCTTCCCGGCTCTCATCGGCTACATTGGTAGAAAAATCAGGACCGTAAAATACAAAATCCCAAACGGCGCGGGTAAAGTTGTATGACTTGTTGGGTCTCTCCTGTAAACGAGGTATGAGTGTTTTCTACTTCGCCATGGAAATAAAACCTCTTCCGTTCTATGTCAATTATCATTTTTGCCTAAATCAATTAAAAGAAAAATGTTGTAAATGTCATAACGACTGCTTTTATTCACCTCATTCATTCATCACCACCTACACGTTATCTTAGTTTAAGTAGTGTAAAAATTGTCCCCGTTATCTGTTTTCATTCATCACTACCTACAATGACACACGTTATCATAGTTTATATTCTAGATAGTGCAAAGACTGTTCTCGTTCTCCATTGCTCATTCATCACTACCTACACTGACACACGTTATCTTAGTTTATATTTTAGATACTGTAAGACTGTTCTTGTTGTCTGACGTTCATTCATCACTAACTTCATTGACATACGTTATCTATAGGATCTAATTTGATAGTTTCATGAATATCCTTACCGTTTGAATGTGTTTCTGCAGCTTAGCGTGTTGCATAATGCTACTGGTATCATCAATGGCAAGGGCAAGCAGAAGGTTCATAATAATGATAGGCATAACGACGAGAAAACCAACAAGGAGGACCAGCTGTAGTGGATAAAATGTGTTGTAATCAGAGTGGTCACCGAGAAATGTCTGTTTAAAATCAAACTCTCCCATCGTCATTGTTGCTCCAGTTAAGATAGACACGCTAAACCTCTCAAATCCCTGTCTATCATTCATTATTACTGTAAAAGCGGCAGCAAAAGTGACCAAGAAAAATATTAAGAGACCCATGACCTAAATAAGAATTGTTGATATCATTAAACATTAGGGTAGAGGGAGAAGTCATAACTTCAGCAGACGAACCTTGAATAGTGTGAACGAAATTTTTCTCATCATAAGAATAATTATACCATAGGAGGCAAACCTTCTTAAATACATAATAAGATTTATCCAAGCACAGAATAACGCTACAGAACAGGCCATCCATTGAAAACTTGTCTTTACAGACATACTGTCGTTACTTGGTACAGCAAAGATGAATGTTGATACGTAGAGAACACATTCCAAATAGTTAACTTTGTCCATAAGATAATTGAATTTGTAAACGAATAACTACATAATTAAATAGAGCATGTCAATATCAAGAGATCAAATTAAGCGTAGACATATTTTTTAAATTCCTTTTTAACGATTTCGCCATTCTTATACAGGGAAAGGACAACAAAATCAGCCCTATACACAAAAATTTTTTATAGGTTTGTAGCTTGTCATTTCTTACAGAAATGTTATAGAAATGAAGGATTGCTGTTGAAGATAAAATGGAACAAAATACTAATACTGCCAATTAAAACTGTAACGTTCATCACTAAATTAAAATAAAACTAAAAAGATAAATAAGCTTTAACAAATAGCAGCCATATTGTTGAGGTCATGCTATTGTTGTTCTGCAACTGCAAGGTTATCAATCACACCTTCACTGAGAAAGCCGATGTTCCAAGGCAAAATACATACGTTTTCATTCTACGTATCATTCTGCTGTCATGAATAAGTCTCATTTTTTGATCGCAGTCCCTAATATTTTATAACAGCTTTGCAACGAGCACAAACATAAAGTGGTATTTATAATATACATGGCTTATACGAGGGAACTTTTACGACCACAAACTGAAAATGCTAACCTGACCGATTTCTTTCAATGTTTGAACGCCAGCAGATATGAGACAGATAAGCATTGCTACCTTAACATTTATCGACGCACTTGGTAATTCTAAACACAAATAGTTTCAATAACGAAAACATAAAACTAAACAAATTCAAGAAAATCGTGAAATAATTAATCTCCTCGAAAATGTTTGCGGGAACCACTGAGTATTTTAATAAAAATACATAACAACGGTAACTCCAAATATCGTAAGGATTTTGATTCAACATTTCTACTCTATTTAGTCATCATCAGGAATGATTATATTACATGCGTGCGCAGTATATATAGACTTTATATAATTTGACCAAGTTAACAGAAACAGATAGTTCACTCGAAGCTTTAGTGCCATGATTAAGTTCCGGTTTTTTTCTACGGATGGGGAGTGTTTCTTTGAATAAAAGGTTTGACCAATCCTTGCCCTGTCTATGATGTGACAGTTGTTCAACAGGAAGAGAGTTGGGTCAAATTGTTCGGTATTGGGTTCGTCCATGTTAAGTTGTAAGAAATCAGTGAGATGAGTAAATTGTTCGCAGCTGTTGATGTGTTTATAGATTTTTGATTTGTTGTCTGTAGTAGCATATCCGTGTAGTCTTGTGTCGAGGCAAGAGAGAACTATCTGTCTTCTGTCAACTACATCAAAACACATACAGTCTATATATAATGCATACACATGTAACATAATCATTTCTGATGATGACTAAATAGAGTTGAAACGTTTAATCAAAATGTTTACGTTACTTGGAGTTACCGTTGTTATGTATTTTGATTAATCTTCACATTACCATCTTTGCCAACAGACGCCTTATATGAAGGAATTCCAAACGCGTAGACGTTAAGAGAAACCAAAAACAAGAAATAAAACATAAAACTTGTTGTGCACACTTTCCATCCAAATTCCATCCATTTTGCTTTAAGGTATTTACAGCAGACAGGATGACATAGGCATTGGTAACTGCTATTTCGCAACATCGCTTTGATGGCGGTAAATGGCTTGAGTTTTTTACCTCTCTTGTTTGTAACTGCGAAAAAAGGATAACTATAAGGAAAGCCTTGTCGAAAAGGAGACAGAGGATGTACACGATGAAAACAGTAAAATGAAAACACGGTTCTAAAAAGCGTAGTCAGTGGCTATGTCTATACAAAATGTCTTATTCAAATATGATAAGATATAAATAACCCAACCACGTGACTGTTTCATTTATTCAACCTTGGCGACCTTTGCAGACAATACAATACTTCATCAATACATGGAAGCAATGATGCATAGACTGGTAATGGTGGTGGTGGTGTTGATGGTGGTGGTGGTTTTTGTGGTGGTGGTGGTTTTGTGGCGTTTGTGGTTGTTGTGTTGGTGGAGGTTGTGTTGATGGTGGTGGTGGTTGTTGTGGTGATGGTTGTTGTGGTGGCGGTTGTTGTGTTGGTGGAGGTTGTGTTAATGGTGGTTGTGATGATGGTGGTGGTGGTTGTTGTAGTGGTTGTGGTGGTGGTGGTTGTGTTGATGATAATGGTGGTGGTTGTTGTGGTGGTGGTGGTTGTGTTGATGGTGGTGGTGGTTGTTGTGGTGGTGGTTGTTGTGTTGGTGGTTGTTGTGTTGGTGGAGGTTGTGTTGATGGTGGTTGTGTTGATGGTGGTGGTGGTTGTTGTAGTGGTGGTTGTGTTGGTGGAAGTTGTGTTGATGGTGGTGGTGGTTGTTGTGGTGGTGGTGGTTGTGTTGATGGTGGTGGTTGTTGTGGTGGCGGTTGTTGTGGTGGTGGTATTTGTGGTGGTTGTGTTGATGGTGGTGGTGGTTGTTGTGGTGGTGGTGGTTGTGTTGATGGTGGTGGTGGTTGTTGTGGTAGTGGTTGTTGTGTTGGTGGAGGTTGTGTTAATGGTGGTTATGTTGATGGTGGTGGTGGGAAATGAGGAAAAATATATAGCAATTATGTTTTCTTTGTGTAGAAAATATTGCATCGCCACCCAACACCCACCCCCCACCCCTTGGCGGAGCCATTGAGCGTAGTAGCTACTATGAGAATTGTAGCATTCTCAATTTTTTAACGTTTTTTGAGAACTTTCTTTGGATTAAGTTGAGATCCTCAACTAGATCTTTATTTTCTATATAAGATAGCTTGCTCACCACACCTGTATTTTGTAAACAGAAAAAGTCGTATGCAACCAAATGGTCAATACTCTCTGGGTGTCCTGTGGTATTCATGCTGTTAGAAAGAGCTCGATACGCCACTTCGGACATATTCTTAGAAACCAACTTCGCCATCGTTCCTTCTGTACCATTTTTTGTCTTGAAAATAATCTGAACACAAGTTCGGTGTTGTTCGTAAGCGACAGTTTGTCAAAAAACAACAACACCAGTACACTGAAGATGCACAAGAATAAGAAACATGTTGAACATATACTTACTGTCAAACCGAATGCTACACTTAATTGCTATACTGATAATAAAATCAAATACATTATAATGAAACATACCTCTTTCCATCTATCATGACACATCATTACCATAGCGCTTTTTGTATCGTCATTTATGATGGCCCAATCCAAGCAGTTAAAGAACTCATAATCTTCTGTAATTGCCGCCAGGCTATCTAGCAAATACTTCACAACATCTGCTTTGCCTTTCACAGCTGCTGTAAGCAATGCTGTTCGTTTGTATTTATTTTCCCAATTGATCATGGAAGGTCTGAACATCACCAACAATTCAACAATATTAAGATGTCCTTTGAACGCAGCAATGTGAAGTGGACTAAACAAATTTCCATCCCTTAAGTACACAATAAATATTTTACTCAAATCTTTCTTCCCTATCAATTAAGTTAAGACATTTTACAGTTATCTTTTTCTCTGTAAACTTCGTTGATGGCAAGATAGAAAATTACCTAACTATAATTGCTCTGTTATTCAGAAGACATTTGACGACCTCTGGGCTACTGTAGTTCGCTGCTGTATGGAGCGGCGTTTTCCCTGTGGCATCGACCTTGTTGATCAAAGCTGGTTCATTGGCTAGGATTAATTCAACCACATCAGAGTTCTGTGAACTAACAGCGCAATGTAATGGCGAACGAGAAGTGTTCGTGAAGACATTCAGATCAGCGTTATATTCTAACAAAATACGGGCACTCTAAAATAAAGAAATGAGCCTCCTGTAATGTACTTGTGTATGTCTTGACTTAATCTCAAAGCAAAAGCAACACACTTACCTCAAGAAATCCTTTTAAGGCGGCATTATGAATGGGTGTATAACCGTCTATTTCTTTCTCGTTAATAAGCAACGGCCCGAGATCTTTTTTTCTATAACGTGTTTGATTATGATTAAAATTTAAAGCTTCGCTTTTCATCTCCAAACAAAACGATAG